GGCTATTAATGAACAGATTCCCGAATATTGATGTAAGGCATGAAAGTCGTCTACAGCTACACATTGTTTAGCTAGGAAGTCATGGCATCTCAATGAATTGGTAGTGTGGTGGAATGATCCTCCGGATTTTGTTTGACACATTATTAAACATGATGCACTAATGTAATTTTTTCAAGTTGAATGAAATTTGTTTTGTTATCAAAAAAAGGGGGCCATTGAAAAATATTTTGCAGGTGAATTAATCGTAACATATAACAAAGTTAATTGAAAGATTTGACTCAATATTAACTATATGACCATTTATGAATAAAACCTCTCTTTCTTTCCTTTTCCTTTTTTTTTCTTAAGAAAAAATATCCGCCCACCAGCCGCGAAAAGTCAGAGAAACAAAATAAACAACTAAAAAAGTAAACCACCATTAAAAGCAGCCATTTTTGATATTTCCTCTACAGTTCCTAATCCTACATTTCCTACCAATACAACACTGCGTTGCCATAAATTTGCAAACCAATTGGTCCGCCACATGGACTAAAACACTTGTACGTTTATTAATCCTCACAAATATCTATTTTTTTTCTTTTTGTGCCAACTCCCTATTCCAAATCTCTCCCTACACACGCATACACAACCCCGGTAATTCTCATTTTTTTCCTCCATTTTTTAGTTTTAATTTTTAGGTTCTCTCATTTTACTGCTTCATACTGAATTATATTCATGTATTTATGCGGTTTTATGTGTTGTCAATTTGTTTAGTTGACTAAGATTTGATCTGAAGAACGAAATCCGATTTATAGATAGGCATATTCATTGATTTATGTGTGTATGTGATATAAAGGTGTGTCTTTCATGTTAATTAGGGAGTCAATATGCTGGGAGTTATAAGGCAAAGAGTGGCCTGCAGATGCGTTTCCACTTCGGTAAAGCCATTTTGATTAATTGAAAATTTCTAGTAAATTCAATTCGTTTGTTCGATTGTTAACAATTTTTGAATGTTTGTGTGAGTTTTTCTCCATTTTTTTTTCTCATTTGAAGAATATGGAGCGAGGAATGCGAATAGTTGCATCCCGGGCTTTTTCTTCCACGGCAAAAGAGGTACATATTTGAAGGATCTATATGTTTTTTCAAGTTTTTTAATGTTGTGTTTGTTGTGTTTTAGAGCAAGGTAATAACAATGCTTGGTAGTTGAACATTGAGGGAGTAAATATATTAAAATAAGCGATTCATCATGTAAAATATGTGTTGTTTTGATATTTTTGGACTTGAATGCTGCAGCCTGTGCTTTTCAATTTTTAATTTTTTTTATTTTTTGAAGTTTTGGTCTTTTGGTAGCTTTCTTTGTTAATGTTGTCCCAAATCCAAGCTGTATCAGAACATCAATCAAAATGTATATCCAAGTACTTTGAATTGTTTGTGGTTAACGATATGTACTTGCCGGTTCTTGCAGATGACAGTACGTGAGGCTTTAAATTCGGCACTTGATGAAGAAATGTCTGCTGACCCTAAAGTCTTTTTAATGGGTGAAGAGGTAAACTGGAAGTTTAGATCAGTACGAGAAGAAAATGCACTTACTCACATTGTTGATTTGTTCTTTTCGGGTTCCATGATTTTTTTTTTAACTTGTTTATTACTGTTATATAGGTTGGTGAGTATCAAGGTGCATACAAGGTGAGTGTTACTCGTTCAACGGCACCTCAACTGCTTCAACTACAAAGACTTTTCATAATCTTATTATTACTCTTTCAGTAATCAGCTTTTGATTTACTCTATATTACTTTAGATTTCCAAGGGGCTTTTGGAGAAGTATGGTCCCGACAGAGTTGTGGATACTCCTATTACTGAGGTTTCTCTTTGCCTTTTACTTATGAATTTTTTTAGTTGTGTTTATAATATTTTTCATACTCAACCAGTTTATATGTTGCAGGCTGGTTTTACTGGAATTGGAGTTGGTGCAGCTTACTATGGTCTCAGGCCTGTGATTGAGTTCATGACTTTTAACTTCTCTATGCAGGTGAGAATTCTTTCTTTATGCTATGTTTGACCATATAGAAATGGGACCTTGTTTATTCTATTTAGAAAATATTTCTGTTCAATTTTGAATATATTATTCACATATCCAATATTGATTGCCCAATTGTTTGCCACTAAATGCAACCTGAGTATTTGTTGCTTTATATTTTGAAGTGCATTTGATTCCATAATGATGCTCTACAGATGTTGTGACTTAGCTAGAGTTTGTATGAAATAGTCGATGACAGACTCGGCTTAAAGCTATTGCAGTTTAAGCCAAGAAACATACTTTACTGTGTTAGTTTTTGGTTCAGTGCTTAATGAAAAAAGNAAGTCATGCCTACAATTACTATGGCCGAATTCAATGCATTATGGAAAGAATTACTTGTATTCTCTAGAAATGATCTTTGACTATAAAGCCTGTTGTTTGCTGCGGTGTGGAGGTTATGACTTGCTCTTTGTACTCATTAGTCATACTCTTTTAAAAAATGAACTTGCAAGCTTTAGTACTAAACCAATTGTAAAGCAAAGAATGTTACTATTTATTCAGAGCCTGTTCGGGAGAGATTTTTGGGGAAAGAATTGATTTTGAATAGTGATATGATGAGAAATGTATGGTTGAAAAAGAAGAAAATATTATTGATGTGATGGAAAATATTATTTTAT